TCAATGATATGATGGGTTATAACCAACACTAGTAATTTTTGAACAACATGAGTATTGATTCAAGGCAGTTTTTCTGATAGTTGTGAAAAGAAACAATATGGTTGAGTCTTTACTCATATAGCAACTCATTAAAGAAACTGAAAAAACAAACAAATAAAATAAAAATCATAACAGAGATAAGAATATTAGCTCTATAACACAACAATGATTTAACCTTGAATATCTTCTAATAAAAATAAATAATACAGGTGATTTTTATGAGTGTATATGGGAAAATGATATATAAATTTTTTATATATCAAAACAATTTTAGGAAAAAACTAACAAAGTGGAAAAATTTATGTCTAGGTTCTTACATTTTACCTTTGCTTCTATTATCACAAAATGGAATGTTTAATAATAAAAGTGATGAAAACATGAACAAAAAGAAAAAACTAAATTAAATTGGCTAGAATATACACCCAAAATATATATTTAAAAAAAAAAAATAAATAAAATTTATATTTAAAATTTTCACCATCTCTGCTCCATGTAAATGTGAGCTGCATCAACTCTTAAACATCACTTTTGTCTGATTAAATCTTAAAAGACAAAACGCGTCATGAAAACATTTTAGCTTATATTTTGGGTTGTCTAGAAAGTTCATGCTGACTTTCAATTGTTCACATATGAACATGTCAAATTTATCAACAGATATAATATGGTTACATTTCTGATTAGAGCACACTTCAAACTGTTTCTTGAGAAAGTAACTTTCTTAATTGGTGTCAATTTTGCATCCCTATGAAAATGGAAGATTATAAGGTGTATTTTTTTTTTTAACAAGGTCAAAATTGCCTCGCAAGCAACAAAAAAGATATTTGTTGTGTACAGTGAAGGTGCTTTAGCTGACAGAACTGTACAGAATTGATTCATTAAGTTTAGAGTTGGTGATTGTAGCCTTATTGATAAAGAACATTCAGGCACCCCACCACCACCACACACACACCCTACTACAAATGATGAGCAAATCAAGGCACTGATTGAGAATAACCCACATTATACAATGTAGGAATTGGCAGAAACACTAAATTTATCAAAATCCACCATTCATGAGCACTTACTGAAGCTTGGGTACTCAAATCACTACAATGTTTGGGTACAACATGATCTGAGTGAAAAGAATCTTTTGGATCGCATTTCATTTGTGATTTGCTGTATAAATGCAATGAAAGTGCATCCTTTTTGAAGCAAATTGTGATGGGTGATAAGAAATGGATTGTTTACAACAATGCTCAGCGAAAAAGATCCTGGGGCAGGTGGCATGAGCCAACTTTAGCCTCCTCAAAAGCAGATCTTTATCCTGAGATAGTCATGCTGTGCATCAAGTGGGATTGGAAAGGAATCCTGTACTACGAGCTTCTGCCAAGTAATAAGTCAATTGATTCTGAAAGTATTACTTGCAACTGGATGAATTAAAGGCAGCAATTCAAGAAAAACACCCAGAATTAGTGAACAGGAAGGTGGTGTTTTTTCCTCAGGATAATGCCAGACATCAGATCTCTTTGGTTACCTGGCAAAAATTGTTGCAGCTTGGCTGGGATGTGTTACCCCACCTGCCATATTCACCAGACATTGCTTCTTTGTATTTTCATTTGTTCAGGTCCTTGCAAAATAATCTCAGTGTTAAAAATTTTAATTCTTTGAATGACATAAGAAAATACCTTAATGAGTTCTTTGCCAAGAAACCACCAAAATTCTGGGATGATGGAATCTTTAAATTGAAGGGAAAATGGAGAAAGGTTGTGCAACAAAATGGTTCAAAATTTAGCTGAACAAATATTTAACTGGCTAATTTTGTTTTGTGCCTTAATTTAAAAAAAAAAAAAAAAAAAATCAGCATGAACTTTCCAGACAGCCCAATGCAAAGACAATGAGACAAAGTGAAAAAAGCTATAAATGATGCATTTTGCCAAGAGCATCTGCTTACTTCAGCTTAGAATGAAAGACAAAATTGTATGTAAGGAAAATTATATATATATATATATATATATATATATATATATATACACACACACACACTAGAGCTGTTGGTATCTGTGGGAATTTAAATCAGTTCAGTGAAACCAGAGAGTTATATATATTTACGCATACATATACATATATTAGAATCTTTTTTTGTACACTTGTTCACACATATACATATCCATGTTTTCTCATATACAGGTATACATAGATATGCATGTACATATTTAAGTGCCTTGCATATGCTTTTATATAGATATGTTTTTATATATTTTTTTTTACTCAGTTACCCCAAACAACACAGTAATGTCACTAAAACACTAGTAGTTACAGAGTGTGGAAGAATCAGGAAAAGAAACATTAATATTGAGCAGAGAGTAATCAGGTGGACAATAGATAGTGATTGACATTACATTTGAATTTTAGCAGATTAAAGTTGACTGGAAAGCATGGAGCCGGAAGGGAGATCCACAAGCAAGAAGTGTGAGAAAAGAAACTTATCATAGAATTTACAGTTACATCTAGCCAGTTCAACTGTAAATTGATAAGATCTTGACACCAGTCTAGTGCTGCGCTTAAATTCAAAAACTCTAGGTACCATATATGAGGGTTGGCTGGAAAGTTCATTGTTGTATTCTGGTACTTGCATGTCTTTTAGTTTACCAAATGATGTGTCATATACATATGTACTACACACATGCGCATATATATATATATGTGCGTGTGTGTATATAGAAAGAAAGATATTAAATTATCATCATGTAGGAAGGAGGGAAAATAAAACGGTGTGTCTTCTCAGTTGTATTAACACCCATGATGACCAAAATTGACATCCCAATTGTAGAAAAAAATCGTTACATGAAATTGCCAAAGATTTTGAAATGTATTTTTTTAAAATATTTTTTAAAATATCTTTGTATCCCATAAACTCTAATAAGATTATTTAAATTATAAACGTTTGGGACGATTACTTATTTTATATACTTGTATATCTAAATATTTCTTTTCATTAATAGATTTTATTTATAGATATTTCCTCCTGTATAGCATAGTATTTTTATTAATTATTTATGGAGAATCTCATGGATAATTACATTTTAAAAACACACACATATATATATATATATTTTATTTTGAATAGATGTTTTTTATGGTTAAATTGAAATCTTTAGCTAGGTTCTGAATATTTTTTTAATTTTTTGTATGTTCTTAGCCAACCACTATTTTTAATATAAATTATAACAGAATTTTTAAGTTGAATACATGTGTGTCAAAATCTTAACAGAAGAAGGATCAAGACAGATTTTCGAATTTACACTTAAAATCTTTTTTTCAGATGTATTCTCAATTGCGAATTTCATGTAACAATTTTTGTCTCCAATCTGGATGTCAATTTAAGTTATCATGGGTGTTAATGCAATTGAGACGACACTGTTTTCTTTTCCCTTCTTCCTACATGATGATATATTCATATGATCCATATGAAATCAATATTCCTAATTTTTAAACCTTGAATAAATTTTTCCATCTTCATTTGGTTTACAGGTCTGAAGATTTGAAGTCATGTTTTATCAACTTCAATGAAATAAAATATCACCTATGGTTTTTTAAGTGTTTGTCATTTTATAATAATTTTTTTGTCTTTTGGATATATATATATATATATATATATATATATATATATATATATACATACATACACACACACAAGTCACTCCACTAGGATATTTCTATATGTTAGAGGAGATAATTAGTATTAGCTCTGCTTTTGTTAAATATTTATCTTTTGATGTGATTTTTACTGGTTTAACTGAACTAAAGTATTAGAATTTCACTCGTGTTCACCAGATTAAATTGCATACACTGCTACACTAATATTCACTAGGTCATGTCATATGAGATAATCAATAATAAAAAGAATAATATTCATTTTCCGGGTATTTAAATGTTACAAACAAAAACATAACAATAACAGGGGAAAAAAAAAGATAAAAAATTTCATTAGATATAAAACATAAGGGAAAAATTTTGCAATATCTCTTAACCACACAATTGCTATTTCTCATTTTAGTTTAATAATAATATAATAATAAAAAAATGTATTTCACAATTAACAGTAATAAGAATAATACAGATTAAATTTACAGAAATTATTAATGAAGAATAATTTGATATTGTAGGGAAACATTTATTTATAAAATATATACTCTTCTTATTTTTTTATTGCTGATATATTATTTCCATTCTTCACTATTCCAATAAAACTGTTTTACTTCACATTCTTAGTCTTATTTCTTAAATAATTCAATTTTTTACTTTGTATATTTATACAGATTTACCAACAGATTTTCTAGACAGATTTCCTTTTAACAGCTTCATTTGATATTTTTAAATCAAAGGCAAGTAAAAAAGGAATTCAAATTATACTTCAAATGCATGTGATGAAGAGTAGAGATTTGCTGATATATTTTTAGAATGAGTGTGCAGTGTACACACACAGATATGTGTGTGTGTAGAATGTTTTTAGTAATATTTAAATGTAATAACCTGAGGAAGGTATTTTTGAAATTAGTGAAATGAGATTTAAGCAGAAATAATATAACACCTGAAAAATATATATTTAGTTACTATATTATACAAATTAATTAAATAAAATAATTAAAATGTATTTTACACTGGATATCTTTCTCTCTGAGTTTTTTACTTATTAGATATTTAATTCATATTAATTATAAATGAGTATATACTGAGGAATTATTTAATACTTTTTGTCATTTTTATCAATTCTTTATCCAGAAAGAAGCAATTAATCAAAATGAATAGTTTCATTAAATCTTTTCTTTTTTTTTTTAGAAGCATTTCAATTTGTTTTTTATGGAGAATCATGTTGGTTACTTTCAGAGAATTCCAGATGTCAGTTCAATTGCATTTTATGCTCTTTAGAAACTTTGACATCACTTATATTGATGATTTTTGCCATTGTTATCAAAATAAATTCACTCTTTATGTAAATATCGAGCTGATATTGCCTTTCCTCTTCTTTTCCAACCAAGCATCCAGGGAATGCTGACTAGCAGGAGTAAAGCAGAAGCATAAAGGGGCCTGAACATCAACCAGCAGAATGCAATGACAGTAACTGTAAAAGATGTGGCCAGGAAGACATTCAGGAAAAACAAACCAAGGTAAACAAGTTGGTTTATTAGTGGCACCCAATCAACTGAAAATGAAAACATTAACAAATTACTTCAAATTAGAAAGAAAATATTACAAAAATATTTTTCATATAGATATTTGTATTATTAATGTATGTGTATACATGCAGATATAAATCCATTAATATTTAGTTGGGCTTCTTTCCTACAATTTTAAGAGGTAATTTATATCAATTCAAATGTGTGTGTGAATGTTGTAAGATATTCAGCAATGTGGCTTAACCAAAGAGGGTTATGCATGGAGTGATAAAAAGTACATTTTTCTGATATTCAGTGACACATGGTTGAATTAGGTCAGCTCATACTTAAATACACTGGATTATATACCCATGTAAGTGACAGTGGACACAGGAAGTGTGTTGAAACATCCATGTACTTAAGTTATCCATTTTTCCCTGTCTTTCCCAGCTCAGCATAATAAGGCATATGGAAATGGTTAGATGATTTAAAATAAGAAAATTCATTTCTGTTCCATGAAACTGTACTTTGTAACAAAGTGCATATGTGCATTCATAATCAGGTTTCAGTTTTTACATAAGTACCTGTGTACATTCAGATTATTCATTTGCAGTATTTCTGCTAGGTGCTCATTAGGGTTATGACTTTTTGTAAAATAATTGTTTTCCTCAATCATAATTCAATAAATCTTTGTTAAAAAAAAATAATTGAGAAAGGTTTAATTCAGTTTATTTTTCAAAAAATCTCACCCCAACACAAAATTTCTAAAATCATATATAAGTATAGTAATACTATGAGTTTCTGGAGCCTTCTAAAAAGTTCTGGAAATTTATGATATGCATTTTGTGGGACTATATAAACATGAGTGTTGGTTGGGTTGTCATTTCAATAAGGCAAATGTGAAAAATTGTTGTTCATGATCAAATATTTTTCTTTTGTTTCACAGTACAGAAGCTTCCTGATTAAGCAATGCTGACTGATTTGCTGGAAATAACATTAATTTTTAATCATAATGTCTCATAAAAAAGTGCACAGAAAAAAACAAAAACAAGATCTGGACAAAGAATCTCATAAGATTTCAAAAATCACATAAGAAAAGAAGAACTGTTCCATGGAAGAACAATCCATGGAAATCAAAAGCAGGATATCATTCAGAATCCTAATTGTTGGAGCATCCATCAAAGGAAGAAAAGAATGTATAAAGGAAATCACTAAAGAAGTAACAAGTTTATGGTAAAAGAAATTAAATTTTCAAAATTTATCAACTCAAGTCATACAAACAAAACTGGGTCAAGTGTTGAACACCTATGATGAATGCGTAAAATGAGAGAAATATGGAATTTTTGACATTACAAAAGAAAATGTTGAATGTCTGTGTAGTGAAGACAGATGGTTATATCATCTTCAGATCAAAAGCAAAGGACATGTTGGATATACAACTAGAAAGACTGCAAGTTCCAAAACTATTCATCCATCCAAAAGATGAAAAGTGACCTTGGAGAGAACTTCAGCAACAGTAACAACTTCAACTTCTGAATCAGAGACCTAATCAGATTGAATATAAAGAATCTGAAACTTCTGAAGAACAGTCCACAATAAAAATGAAGAAGTATAACTAAACTAAAACTGCAACCAAATTAGTAACATCTTCAAACTTACCAACCAGCAAAGCAGCAAATGTTTGTCAGCAGTTATTTCAAGAATAGATTGACGTTGGGACAATTTCTCAATCTGGTATTTACAGATTCACTATTAAAGTAGCTATTAAACTTAAAGGATAAATAAAGAAAACACTACTTAGAATATTGGACTTTGCATTTTAATGGGAAATTGATGGCCAAGAATATCAAGTGCTTATTTTGAAGAATGAAAAAAAAAGAGAAGTTAGAAGCATTGCATCTACTAAATGGAAAAGCGGATACTGTTGTCAAAGGAACAACAGCTGTTCTGGATGAATAGAATTTATGCAAGTGCATAAAGATGATTGCTGCAGACACTATAAATGTGAATACTAGGAGCAGGAATGGGATTGTCATTCAGTTATAAAGACTGTTTGCTCAAAAAAACTGAAAGAAACACAATTCATTGGCTGTCAACATTATTTTCTTGACAGAGTGCTTGCAATGGATGACAAAACTGGAGGAAAAAACACATTACCCAGGATGGTATAAAATTTCTATTTCATATAACTCAAGTTTTCCACTTTTTCAAAGAAACTGGAAGGTTTCTTAAAGTGAAGCGTCAAAAAATATCTAACTTAAGTAATGCAAGATGGAAATCTAAAGCAATATTAGCTCCTACTCTTTTGGCATTTATTCTTCTACCAGAGAAAAGAGACTAGCTACTTGAAATTTGTAGATTCATCTTTTACAGCTGGGCAGACTGAGCAAATCTACAATGCAGAAGCTATGTAGCAGCTTACAGGCTCACAAAAAAAAGCATTCAACTCTTTGAAAAAGTTTTGGAATCCAGAAACATTGAGACTGGAAATTCCCTAAACAAATCAGTATTCAGAATGGGCAGTTAAGTGTCTTCAAGATCTTTATGATGTCTGTAAAAAGGAGAAAGTTCAGCTTACATTTATTTTGTCTAACAAAACAAAATAATTGTATATTTTGCTATAAGTATGCTAAATATTCCACATTTTTTTTCTTTATATTCTTAATTGTAGATGCAAGTTTCTAATTTTATATGCAAGCTTGCAATTTTTGTTTATTTGTAAGTTTGTGTTATGCTATAGCTATAAACTGTTAAATGTGTTAAAAAATACATAAGTACAATCCAATTATATTATTAGCAAATTGAAAAATAAAGCTTCTGAAATATTTTGATTTTTTTACCCTTATTACATATATGGTAAAATCAAATTTTCACTTTGGGGTGATCTTCTTCAAGAAGTGAAACAAATTAATACATTTTTTATTACTTTTGAAGAAAAGTTCATCAACTTATGACACGGAAACAAAGTTACAAAAACGTCATAACCCTAGTGTTCATGTAGGACTTAATGCATTTATAACACAAAAATGGAGAACATTTGCGGTTTTAGTTTTGCTTTTTAGTTAACTGCAAGCGAAACAGGATAAAGAACAAATTTTTAAGTCTTTATAAATTGTAATCTTCCCACATGTAAAATTCCAACATGTATCAAAGGAGCATGTCATTAACAATAGATTATTTGGGTCTATATCCAATAGCTTAAGCTAAGTAATCTATTTTATATTAAAATTCCTTAGATCAAATTTGAGAAAGTTTTACTTACCAAGTGTGTGGAAAATATTTGTGAGGCAGTGGAAAGCAAAGAAAGCGGTAATAAATCCAATTGCGCGGAGAATCCAAGTGTGCATGTTGTTTTCAGAATGTTCTTTGTTAAATATTTGCTGACAAGAAAAATAAAATTCCATTAATATAAAAAGATGATTATAGATTTTCTTTTAAAAATTTAAATTTGTTGAAATTTTTTTTATTTCCTTCAGTTTAAAAAAAAAACAAAAAAACTACATTTAATATTTCTTTTAATGTTTTAACAATAGATTTCTAAAAATGTCTTAGTTTGTTTATGTATTATTCTGATCTAAAATGTAACATAGTAAACTATACATTTGCCAAATTAGAATGGGGAAACAATTGCGTTTATCAAACCCGAATTATTATTTGTAAATAAACTGACCAAGTCAAATTGCAAACAAGTATAGCATTAGTCCTGAGGTAGAGCCATGAGACATATATCCATAATGAAAAGGTAAAGGTTGATCAAAGGGCTGTCATTGCTCAATTCATATCAATACTCCTTATTGGTTGAAATTCAAAGTTTCTTTCTCTTAGAACAGCTACCATCCAAGGCTAGAAAGCCCACTCTGCAATGTTAATTCCATAGATGAGTGGGGTGGAAGATAAAAGATGGTTTCATACAAATATATGAGGTGATCTGAAATGGAATGACCAGATCATATCAATAGCTGCATCTACTGCAAAGAAAGTTGGGTCACTGAGTTGTACCAGAAGGTTTTTCTTCTCAGAGACCATCTTGCACATTTATAAATCTACCATTCGTCTGTGCATTAAAAACTGTTGCAATATCTGGTCAGGTACTCCTGCTACTCATCTTGAGGTTCTTGACAAAATCAAAAGAAGGATCTGCAATGTATTTGATCCTGATTTGGTATCTTTACTTCAGTTACTTTCTCACCAATGTTATGTGGTTTCCCTCTTTCTTTTCTGCAAATATTTTCATGGCTGCTACTCTTTTTTAAGCTTTTTTCCCTAGTGTCAGGACTATTTCAGTTTAAGCATGCTTCTAGATTGGCATCTAAGTCCAACCATTTTACTGTTGAATTAGTTAAATGTAACTGCAACTTCTACTCCAACAGTTTCTTTTCTTGCACCTCCCACCTATGGAATTCCCTTCTGTTTCCTTGCTTCACTTATAACTACAGTCTTCAAAAATTTAAATGCAATGTCAATTGCCATCTTCTGTCTTCTTGAACCCTGTTAGTTTTTATCCTTTCCTTGGTCACCCCTATACCCAGTTTTTTTCTCTCACATTCACTATCTGTAACCCCCTGTGTACTAGTTGCATTCATGCCTTGAATTTACTTCATCAATTCCACACTAACAGCCATTTTGGTACCAACAATAAAACAAGCATTTTGAAATAAAAAAAGGTCGTAATACAAAAACATTCAGAGAATAATTATAATTTGGAGGAAATTAGGAATTTATTATTTCTGTCTGAATTTCTGGAATGAGGAGTTATTATTTACATTTGGATTAATGGTCTCATCTTTGTTGTTGTTGTTGTTGTTGTTATCACAATGTTTCAGCCTTTGGAATCTTTTAATGAATGAATGAAATTGAGGCAAATGTAACAGAAAAAAAATTATTTTTTATCTGGACTATATATTCCCTGATATGGTAAATTTAGAATATTGTGTGTATATATATTATATATATATATATTATGTAAATATAGCCTGAAAACTCTTTAAAGGGATTTTTCAATGTTGTTTCTAAATGCACAGATGTCTAGTCTTTTATTTTTATGAAGTAACACATAACACATCCAAACCAATAGTTAAATTTTCAAATAAAAAAATGCTTTAATCTGTTTTGGAAATCAGACTGATGATAGAAAAAGTGAAAAATTGTTGCCTTACCTCTGGAGACCATTTCCCAATATGGAGTAATTCAAGTGTACCCCCAGCCTGTGTCTGGTAGTGAGCTAATTGGTTGAATATCTGACGAGCCACAACACTAATCTGAAAAAGAAATGTAGATCCAGTTATTTTTCATGAAAAACTGATGAAGTTGTTTGAATATACCAAGTTAATTCTGCAGAATTATTCAGCTATCAGCAGTGGGAAGACCGATACAATTCTGTGTTTTGAGAAAAATACAACTGAAAGAGTCAATAGTTAAAATCTAAGAAAATTATTGCTGGTTCATTTTTGCTGTTGATTAAAGAATGAGTGTAACCCTTTCATTGCTTCAATTTACTATTGGGCCGTGATTAATTGAAAATAATTTTCTTCGTTATCAGTGGCAGTTGTAATATTTTCTCAGTTAAAATCTTGATCACTGACCCTGGTCCAGCTCACTGCTGGTGAATTCAAACAGGAGATTGAAATGGATTGTCCCATGCTGTGTTCTGATTTATCAAATGGTATGTGAGCTCACCCAAACAATTTTTATGGATTTTATCAAGGAATATTAGATAAGTAGCAGGAGCACTGGATCATATGTGGCAGCAATATTCTAAGCACGGCAAATGGTAGACTTATAGGATAGATTCTGGAGAGAAAAATTGTCCCACATGACAGTGAATCAACTTTCTTGGCAGCTGACCTAGCAATGAATTCAATATAGCCTTTCCACCTCATGTCAGCTGAGAATGTTAGCCATAGAAGATGCAACTAGTCACTTTCCTTGAGGTTAGCATTAGCCAGGTCTATCAGATGATTAATGGAGAGCAGTTTAGTTTTGGAGGCATTAAAGTTAACAAGCCATCTTTTGTTCTAGTTAACAACAGACTGAACGTTGTTTTGGACATTGGCTGCCATTTTGACCTTATTGAACTGATTAGACTTACTATCAAGACAGGAGATAGTAAATAGAGCTGATGACATTGGGAAGGTCATTAATGAATATTAAAAACAAAATAGGACCAAGGATGGAGTCCTGGATGACACCCACACAAGTATGAAAGGATCTAGATGAGTAGCCATTCAGGATAACTTTCATTTCACGATTTGATACAAAACACTGGATCAGTTCAAAATTTTTTCAAAAAATAAACAACAAAAAAAAAAAACACTGTAACTTGTTAGCTTGTAGAGAAGACCTATATCCCAAACCCAAAATGTCCAAAGCTACGGCTTGGGCTTCACCATTTTTATCTAGATTATGATAGACTATTTCTGCAATTATCATCAGTACATCAGCAGTTGACCTGGAGAAACGAAAGCCATATTGCTTCTCTGCAAAAAGGCTCTGCAATGAGAGATGCTTAACAAATTCAATTCTTAAAAAACTAGAACAACAGAAGATGTCTTCCAGCAGGCAGGAAAACAAGAGGCATTATACAGTTTAGAGAGAACAGGAGCCAGTTTGAGAGCACTCTTTTTAATGACTATTAGAGGGATACCACCATGCTTTGTGGAGATCAAGGTTAGAGATGATAGCAGATATCATAGAATGGGTTATATGCATATCACTTAACATAGATGCTGTTCTATGGCAAGTTAGGCAGGTACTAAAGATGTGTTAAGAGTAGAGATTAAGAGGAATTCATGGGCAAAGCATTCAGCTTTATCAGAAGATGTTAACACCTCAAATTGATTGGAGAGAGGACATTACACTTATTTAATACACTATTACAGAGCCACCAGTAATCACAAGAGTCAAGTTGTTGGATGCAATGTGGTGCCTCATTCTCTCAACAGACTTAGCTCAAGGACTCATTTACTTTTATTATGAGTAACAATGAATAGGCATCTGTTGTGATGGGAACTGTCATACTGGTATAGACAAAAATAGTGACTCCTATGTGCTATAGCAGTTGAGCATGCTGGTGTAAATCATGGAGAAAGAATTAGAAAGAATGAAAGCATCCATGCTGGCTTTGATCCAAAAGGAAACCTCAGTAGCTCAATTCTCAATTTGAAAGTTAATGATATCAGTTCAAGAGATGTTATAAAGAAAATCACAGTGTGATGAGTTCCAATCATCATGCTGGTAATGGAAAATGGTCTGATGACTAGGAGGTTCCTGTTTAAGAGATGATTGGAACAAAATATTAATGGCAAATGCAGAGTGACCCAAGATTTCAAGAGGGCAGTGTTGCAAGGACGGGAGGTAAGAAATAAGAAGCCTGTTGCTTGGTTTTGCTTGGGGAAAAAAGTAAGGAAATCCATGATTTGAGTAAGGGATTGAGCAATGAAAAAATTTAAATGTTTGAATACAAGAAACAGCAGTACCTTTAGAATGTTTAAGCCACATGTTGTGGTGTGCATTAAAATCACCGAAGACAATGATGTTTGTAGATGGATGGAGAAAGAGTGTTTTCTATAATGTCAGAGATTATGTCTAATATACCTAAGAAGAGGGGAGTGATAAAGAAAAAAGAGATAGCTAATACAGTGTAATAATGAAAGACAAAAACACATGAAAGAATTATCTGGGGACTCGAGAGAATTCTCTTGCCATAAGATTATCCCAGATGTAAACATGCATGTGAATGTTGGAATTTTTTTTGGCAGAGGGGAAGATAGGCTGGAACAGAGAATTTGTTGGTACTTATATTAAGAATTGCCCAGATGTCAATAAAATACATCCAGATGTGCATTTGTTGACAGCCAAGAGTTTTAGGCTAAATTTCAGAGGCAAATTTTAGCAAATATTTAAAATAAATATACTTTCTGATCCTCAGATAACTGTTAGTGAGAAGGTTGAAGCCCTCCAGGTTTATTCATCCTGCCAACCCATTTAGGCAAAAGTGGGAGAGAAGTCAGTGAAGTCAGTGATTTGCTTAATTGTGAATGGTGTAATATGTCTTACTAAATTATCCATTGCTTTAAACCTCACTGTGGCCTTCCATTTATTTCTGGCAAATTTTGTTATTACAATTGATATTTTTAATTAAATTTTTCCGCAATTTATTCCACTCCTCATTCAAATGGTGTTTATGAGAGACACATACTAATTTTTGTAGATATATTTTGTTTCATTTTATCATGCAGGAAAATTGTTTTATTTAAATCAATTATTTTTATTCACCTCTCCTTATGAAATTATAAATAGGGGTTTAATTAAAATTTTCATAAGAAGAATGAGATGTTTTGGTGTTTGTTACATGAAAAATTCAGTTATGGTAAAAAGAACAGTGAGAACAGTAAATTAGTAAATTAGCTAAGTCAGTGACAGGATAGTGAAAACCAGTACCTTCCTTTTACTCAAATGTTTTTCTTTATGCCATATTTTTTTGTAATTAGTAAAAAATAAAATAAAAATTTAATGTACTTTGTTTCTTACTAAAAGGTTACTTTTTTATGTATTGCCATATTTTTGTTGAATAAAAACTAACAAATAGATTTAAATTCTGTTATCAAAGTAATTTTAAATTGTAGAAAAACTAAAGAATAAATGTTATTTATTTTTTTACCATAGTAGTTCTGCTCTGAATACACCTGTTTTTTTCTTAACTTTTGAAATCACTAACTTAAAATGTTTGATTTTTACTTTGTATTTTTTCTCCGCCTCCTTTGAATTTTCTAATTTTATTACAACTATTATTAATATTACTATTATTATTATTACTACTATTGTCATTACTAGTACTATTATTAATATCATTACTACCACTATTCTTATTACTATTACTACTACTATTATTATCCATTCCTGTCCAATTGTACATTTTAAATTTTGATTAATTTAAGAAAACATTTGTCCACAACTGCATTTATTGTAATTGCAATCTCACTGGTCATTTCAGTGACTTACAAATCTGTTAAAGATTCTCTTTTGCATACCTACCTTAAAAAAGGTGCAAGGAAAGTTGGTTGTAAATTAATTTTCTGCTCAATTTTTAGTTGAATGAGTTATCACAAATTATACTAAGTTAAAACTTAATAGTTATTAATGCACCAACAGATTCCTAAGCTCTATAACAAAATTCATATATTCAATGTCAACCTCACACCTGGAATCCCATTTTCATTATTCTTAATTTTATCTTTCATTCTATTTTTATTCCTATTTTCTTATATGCAACATCAATGCCTTAAGTCTGTAATTTTATTTACTATTCTTTTCCTTTTCCTCAATAGGAGTAGATAGGTTGGCCTATTGCCTGGTTCACACTCCTTCCCATTCTTTTGAACAGGAGTAGAGTTTTATCCCTTGTTTCCTGTTTAGGATTGGGTTTCCAGTTCATTCTAAAGTCTACTTCAACACTATACTTCTAACATCTTTGTCTTGCTTGATGCGAATTGATTAAAAAAAAAATTTCAGGTTCTGTAAAGGAGTTAGAAAGACTAGAACAATAGTAATTAACAAGGAGTTAATTGATACATTATCACTTTTCTGCCTTTATTCTCAGACTTTAATTATCAAATTAAATTAAATATTTTCAAGCGTGTAATAGAATATTTCTAGTTTTTGCATTAAAGCAAAATATATAATTTGTAATATTGATGAGAACAGCATGTTTATAATTTATATAATAAAATTTATCACTTGTATTAGCAAAAACATCACAGTTTAATGATTTTTATTTAATGTGAAAAACTGAATCTTAAATTTAAAAAAAAAATGATTAAACATTATAAAACAAGCAGCCAAAATAATAGGCATTTTATAGTAAACTGAATCTTACTTAACAAAAACAAATAATGAAAAAAAACTTAGTTAACTTAAAATGAAAACCTTTCAGACTTAAATAATGAACAAGTCACATTTTTATAAAATACATTTTTTATCGATGCTAGCTTTTGTAAAAATCTTAAAAAGCTAAAATTTCAAAAAGAAATTACAAGTACCTAAAAATCATTTAAAATGAAATAATCAAAATTATTGAGTAGAATGCAATTTCATATTTGTTTAATACAAACATTTTTAAGCATACATATGAAATACTTGTTTCTTTATTGACTGAAGTCTTCAAGCTATAAAAACACTGTCAGTTGATGATACTTACTTCTGTTACTGTGCCAAGCTCAGCATCACCTTCAACCACAGTACCAGCAAAGGAATAACGGATACGCAAATCTCCAATCTAAAAGAAAAGTATGGAAATTAACAAATTAATGAAAGATGAATACTGATTATTCTCAGTGATAAGATTAATCTATATTATTTTAGAACAATATTTTGTTAAATCCAGGCTAATATTTGTAATGTTATTTTCCTGATGTCCACTATATACATTTTTGGAGAAAATAAAAAGATGTGATTAATATCCTCAACTCACAGCATGAAACATAATTATTCTTACTATCAATTAATGTATATATATATGTAAAAGAATGAAAAGAATATAAATTCAAATGTTCATAACATTAATTTAAGAAAGAGTAGAGCAATAGATATTTATTATAAACTGTTATATTGGAACATGCAATTTACCATGACAAAAATGCAGATTTGTTTCAATGTCTAAGGACATCTCATCAGGTGGTTAACGATGGTGGTAATAAACAATTTTATTTAAAAATACACTTTATGAAACATCACTTCTTTTTACATTTTTGAAAATTTTCCATAGAAGGCAAAGAAACAAATATATGAAAAAATTATTATTTCTGTAAAAGGAAAAGAAAAAAAAAAAGCAGATTAAAGTAAAAAAAAGGAAGAAAATAAGAAATCAATAAAAAGAAAAAGAAAGAGGAAAGAAAAGAAAGGCATAAGAAAGCCTAAGAAATCAACCCTACTATAAAGAGAAAAGAAAAGAAAGGAAAAAGAAGGAGAATTGTATATCCAAATTTTACAGATACAAAAGGAAAAGGAAAGAGAAGAAAATAAGCTGAGAAGTTGTTGATTCCAGTTTTAGCCAATGAAGACACGTTAAGATGGAGAATTCAAAATTGAACAGAAATATAATGCAACAAAATAGAAACATATTACAGATACAATGTAGCAATTCAAACTTTGACATTTTGAATGAAATCACATATTTAAACAAAATTAAACATAGTATGTAAATAAAAGACACTTTAAGAAGAAAAACCATATACAAACGAAACAACTACTTAACTATATCAACCATACATTATAAATTAAAATACAAAATAAATTTTAAATATTTATATAACTTATATATTTATTTTAAATTATCAAACAACATCACCAGTAAAATAATTATAAGCCAATTCATGGCTAACCTTACTACCAGTAATTTACAAATACTAACCTATTTAATACCTTAATCTAGAATAAAAGGTAAAATAAAATAAAAACATAGAAGGCAAAGATTAAAAAATTAAAATGTTTATATAAAGGTAATATAACATAAGAGGTGTGATTCTTGAGTTATAAAGTTTAGCAAGATTGTAAGGTTAATTCCTTAATATTCCTGCAATTTACCGTAGTTTCATATCTCTGATTTAATAATTGATCACTATTCAAGTGTCTAATTATTTGCATTTTCTCCTGTAGACAAAGGAAATGGTTTCATCATGAATCTACAGATTCTTGCTGAGAATTTTTCCATTTAACTTTAGGTGTTTTACATTATTCGGACATATTGTCCTCATCTTTGTCACCATAATTATTACAACATTTCGGCTCCAGCCTTCTTCAGTTGGAATGTCAAGCTGAACCCATTATTTCGCTCACTGTTCTAGTTCAACGTGCCATGTTTAATGGATGTCAGTTATCAGTTATCTCCTGTTAATTCACTACTTTAACCAGGTATTGAACTCACAACTCTTTGTGTCCTGTCACTGGATCTAACCAATGCCTTTATCCACTGTGCCATGTGTCCTTAAGGACATCTGTGTATGAATTTCTGGGACTTATAAACTTAATGTCTTCAGCAACCATTTTTACCAGTGCTCATATTGCAATTTTTGCTGTTATCATTTCATTTTTTTACCAGAAAATTGCAATTTTTGTTATTATTGCTTTTCTCTGGCACTCCTTATTACTGGTTCTCATACTGTATTCATTTCTATGCTTGGTTGGCTCAGGAGATTTTTGTGGCCTAGCATGTGCTGATTCCTTAAGTTTATGAATTTTCCAATGATGTTCATTGTCTATGATTTCAACCTGATCCCACAGAGGGCAGTGATCTCCCTTTTCTCTCCATATGTGGTCAGCCACACCTGATTTTTCCACTTCCCCTCAGGTTACAGCTTTTTGATGTTCCTGAAGCCTTACCTTAAGCGGGGTGACCTGTCTCCTCTTTATATTTCTTTTTGTAGCTGCACAGGATGGTGTACACACAGTCTTTAGTCATATTCTCCTCTATGGGAGGGAGGGGTTGTAGAGAAAAATAAATGATGATGAGGGGGGTCAAAAAGTGCAGTGTGACGCTCGCCAGCAGTCCAACTATTTTTCTTCTTCGGTCGCCTCAAGGAAATAGATTGTGTGGCTCCCTTTCTCAGCTCTTTCACTGGGCAGTTGTGAAACAGACACCAACTCAGCTGCACCTACTTCAACTTCCTCTTTGTCTGTCAATCCGTATGTTCAACTCTGACACACGCAGTGTGCCGAATGACTTCCCTCCTTTTGTACTGCTGGCACCCCGCTTTTTATGCTATTCCAAGATGGCCAAAATTTGCATGTGTGCAAATATCGAGATTTTCTTCAATAGCGGCCATATTTCTTTTTTGTCATCACTTTACAGGCAAGACTTGTTTGCGCTCGTTTCGAATTCTGAGGTAAGTCATGTTTTTCATTACAGGGGTCTTACTTGGGGGAGGTATCTTTTTATAGTACAACTATAGCTAAGTTTTAGAGTATTCTGATTGAAAATTTTACTTAATGAATTACTTTTAGGAAAATATTTATCAATTAAGTTTAGAAACTTATGTCCCAAATTAGTACAAACTAATTGATTGAATGGAGATGTATACCATATGATTATCCTGTATCTCTGCATTATTATTGTCTGTTGTATAAACTAATTATTTTAGGTGGCCTCACAGATAAAAATCCAAAGGATTGTGGTGCAGGCCATGGAACCAGTCCTCCTCTACCTATCCATTTTTCATGGAAGATGTCAGCCAGTGCATCACGAACATTGTGACTAAAATGTGCTGGAGCCTCATCATGCATGAACCACATGTGTCTTCATATTAGCAGGGGTACATCCTCTAGTAGGTCTGGAAGTGTGTTCAAAATAAAATCCCTGTAGACAGCTCCTGTAAGACATGCTGGGAGAACATATGGACCCACCAGGCAGTCACCTACAATTCCAGCTCACACATTAATCATAAAGTGATGGTGGTGTCTAGTCTTTATTGTACCATGTACATTCCAATCCCTCTACAAATGTTTGTGTAAATTTGTTATTCTATCGCTTCCAAATGTTGCCTCATCCATGAACAAGTCTGAAGTGATCAGCAGTTTGTGCAATAAATCATCGGCAAAAGTTCTTTTATGGTGAGTGATCAGAGGTTGCAAATGATACAGATACAGGAGCTGCTCTCTTGAAATAAACTCCATCTGGTACTATATGATGTATGACATGCTAGGGCTACTTTGATACCTAAAGCCTGTAGAATGTGTTCTTTGTTGTCAGGAATATGAGCAGATCTTGGTCTTCCACGATCCATAGTTTGTGCTGCCACAGATCCTGTCTCAGCAATGCAATGATAAACAGCAGCAAAAGTTGGATGACTCAGCTGCCTTTGGTTTGGAAACACAATCTGATACAGCTGTGCAGCATCAAGTCCATTGGCATTTGCATGGATGTACGTGAAAATCATATCTGCTTGCTCACAATATAAATATCCTGCTATTGTTAAATAGAACACTGCTTAATTAACTCACTGCCACAAATGTACTCTAATGACAAATGTAACCTAGTCTACATGACAACACAGCATCATCTACCGTAAACTTTAAATAGCTCAAAAAGGAAGGATTTGTGGACATATGTCTATATGGACTGTTGTCCTTGTTTTGGTCTGAGGAACCTGCTCCCAAAGTTTGTAAAAGTATTTTTGATATGCCCTATATATATATATATATATATATATATAAATTATTTAATTTAAATTATCAATTGAATTTTCAATTGTTTTGTTATATTAAATATACATTTGTTGTCAACTCTTTTCTAGTTTTTAGAAAAATATTTCAATTTTATTGAAATTAGTAAATTTTTACATTGGTTCTCCTGCACTGAATATTTCAGTACCATTTAATATTTGATACTTTCAACAATATTTTAAATGCAATGTCAGTCACTATCTACTCTCCTCCTGATTACTCTTTACACTCATTATTGTTTCTTTTCCTAATTCTTCCACACCCTGTATGTAATCCCTTGTGTCTTAGTGGCTTTACTATCTTGCATGGGGTGATAGCGATTAAAAAAAAAAGTAATGGGATAAGTGCCTAGTATTGTGTATGGCTCTAGCTTGGTGAAGTGCAGCAATTTAGCATATTATCAATTCTATATGTGGTTGGAAGATGTTGAGCTATGAAATCTCACTTCAAAGTTCCCTGATATTTTACAAACAAATCTCTCCACCACTTCTCATGGCCTTGATTTGGTTCATTGTTGGAAGTCTCCAAAATACTCTCTAAATCAATTTTTGGCTACTTGGGCCCAATGGCACGGTACATTATCAAACTGGAAGACCAACCATTGTTGGGGTGCATGAATGAATACAAATGGTCACAAAGCAGTGCAATTTAACAATCATTAGCATAGAATCCATATTTTATCCTAAAGCAGGGGAAGATACTCTAGTAAGTGATGATGCTATGAAATTAGAGAAATAAAGAATTTTGTTAGAAATGTTGAAAGCTTTTGCATCAATCCAATAACAATACTAATGAAGCCAAATTGTTTACTTTATTTCTAAATTATACATATTTTGATATGTGATTTATGTTCAACAAATGCATTTTAGTTAATTAGAAAAACTTTCTATTTTTTGTATATTTACTGAATTCATTTTTGATCCATATACAGGTGGTTTGCTGCCAATATAAGTTCTGTACTATACTAATATCCTTTCCAAATATATCAAATTGTATATTTCATTTATTATGTCTGTAATCTTGTCAATGCTGAAAACTGGTTGCTGGTTGTCCTCTTTTGTTGCAGAAGAGTTCTCAGATATATTCATTCCATCTCTGAGGCATTTTTTCTTTCTCTAATATCAGTGTCCTGTCGTTGAATTTTATGCATCCTGTTGATGAGCATGTTTTTGTCTGGTTAGTTCTCTTATTTCTTTATACATATCTGCTTTATTTGTGATACTCATTCTTTCTATTTCTGCACACTTTGCAATTTTTAGCTCACTTGTATTTGTTCCTAATTTCTTTATGCAGTGACTTATATTCTGTGCTATACCTTGGCATTGTTTTTTGTCCCCTTTTCAACATATTGAGAACTTCATGTCATCCATTCCTTTTTTGTCTGGTTTTCATTGGGATGATAGCAGACACAGAAAATTCCAAGAACTTCTATGGAAGGTAAGAAGGAAAGTGAGAAGAAAGGACTAAACATCAATTGCAAGAAAACTGAATGTGTGCTTGTTAGCAAACCGAACAGCCCAACATGCAAATTACAAATAGGAGATACCAAAATCAAACAAGTACAATTTAAATATCTGAAGTGTTGTAACAGACGACGGAAAATGTGACACAGAAATCCAAAGTGTATTGGGATAGTGAAATATGCTTTCCAAAAACTAAATATTAAGAAACAAGAAAATTTTGTTAGAAACTAAGAGTACTGAACTCATATCAGTCTTCTTATATGGCAGTGAATCTCCTCACAGATAAAGAAGCAATGTGGTTCTACAGAAGGATGCTGAGAATACAAAGGACTGAAACTTTAGAGAAAATGGAAACAAAAAGGATACTTATACTTCACATCAGAAAGAGAGAGTTAAAATTTCTAGGGCACATAATCAGCAAAAAGGGTTTGGAAAATTTGATACTCACAGGACAGATTGAAGGCAGGAGGGACAGAAAGAGTCCATAACATACCTAGCAAGCTTGTGTAAATGGATGGCAGAGTTTAGGAGAGATAACAAAGAGACAAAATTTATTAAGAGTTTCAAAGGACAAGAAATTGAGAAGAGCCATGATCACCAACGTGCTGAAGGGACACAACACATAGTTGATTCAAACACAAGATTACCTTACATGAATCCTAATAAAATTTTTTTTTTATTAAAATAATGACTTATTGTAGAAATGTCACACCAAAATTATGCTTCCTATTTTATTATGTTGCTTCACAATATCAGTAGTGGATGTTAATGGCAGTGGAGGTTAAAACTTTCAAACAATAATCCATATCTTTTGTCCTGCAGCTGATCAACAATCAGGTAAAATAGTGTCTGACATGAAAGTGTGTAAAAAATAGAAGTGTGACATTGAATTACTCCATGCAGAAAACACTGCACTCATTAACATTCATTTATGTTTACTGAGACCAAACAGTGGATGTGAGCACATTTTGTCAGTGGGTAACACTTTTCATCAGTGGCAACAGCAATGTATGCAACAAACCATGTTCTGGGCGGCCATGCACTAAATGAACTGATCTTGTTTATTGCTGGTGAATAACCAAGAGAGACAACTATGTGAAAAAATAGTGTGTTTTGTAGTTGAAAAATTGTTCCATCCAATGGTGTCCCTTGTATTTGTAGCTTTCAGAGAAATAAATAGGAAACTACAAACATTAAAAATAATACTGTATGCTTTCATAAACATATACTTTGCATATGTTTGTGTATGTAAATAAACTTACCATTGGGTTGTTAGGATCTCGACCTTGATAAATTTGAGAGATTTCAGGTGAATAATCATCATGTTGAACAAGAAAGCTAGTGGGCAATGGCTTGTAATCATTTATTTGTTTGACCAAACCTGTAAAGAATCAAAATATCAAAAATAATTTGGGAGGTACAATATTATTAGGAACTTTGAAAATACCATTAGACTTACAATTTTTTATTTTGCTTTTATAGTTGTGATCTTAATGTCATTATATCAAACAAATTAAATTATTGAACAACATAGTTGTTTGGTTTATAAAAAATAAAACATTTTTAACATTAGTTTTATTTATAGTATTGTTCCACTGTCTACTGTCATATTTCAAACAATTTCATCCTTGAACTCTTTATCTTTGTCAGAAAAAAAACAAATCTAAGTGAGTTTTGTAGTTTTCCAGGAACTTTAAATTTTTTTCTTTAAGGCAATAATAAGTAGTAATCCAAAGGGACAATATCTGGTGAATATAGTGGCTAAGTGAAAACTTCCTAGCCAATGTATCATCTAGCATTATCCTGATGGAATATCATGTCCTTTGTTTTTAAAAAATCTGGATGCTTCTTATCAACTTCTACCTACACTTTTTCTAATTGATGGTAGTACATGTTTAAATCAATCATTTGCAAGGAACTCATAAAAGATGAATCCTTCAAATGTAACTAGATGTATATACCTTTTATTAGCTAGATGTATATACGATATTACCTTTTATTACCTATTATTAGAGAAGATGAGCCATTACTATGGTTAGCAGTGATTCCCTCCATTAACTCTACAATCTCTTACATTCCATATTTTTATAAAGTATACACTTTTCACTGACAATCATAATTTGTTTAAAAAGAAAAAAAGGAACATGGAAGTATGATCCAGTAGTTTGTCAATGTGAAAGTCACACATTAAACTGACTAACCTAATCAAGCTGATGCAAATAATTTTCAGTGCTTGATTTGGATATCTTAAGTATGTTGGTTTTCTTTTGTATCATATGATGTTAATAATTCTCAACTAGTGTCTTCATTTGTTTATTATCAACCACAATTGCTCTATTCAAATGTGGAACATTGTTTGATAAAAAACCTCCCACATGAAAATTTGCAAAATACTTTTGATATGTTTACTCATTCATGATACTGTCTACATAAACTACATAAAAAATATTTTGCAGTTGGGTCACATTTTTACTTTTACATTTCTAAAAAAATAAAATAAAAAGGAAAAAAATGATTTATTCATAGCGAAGGAGAAGTAGATTCATGTTTTTCCAAGTGAACACAACAGCTTAGAACAGAATTTGAACTTGATCTGCTAATTACATTTTCCATACTGATAATCATTTTGGCCTTCTTCAACATCCAAAACTTTTGACATTGATCAATTATTTATTTTTTAAAGTTATAACAAATTCTGTATAATCTCAAAACAATTGTAATAATGTAAAAAAGAAACATACTATCAGAAAGATAAAAATTTCCTAACTTGACTGGTTTTGCAGTAAAAGTTGCACTTTCAACAACCATTGAACTGAAAAATACAATGAAAAATAATGAAATGAAAGGATGAAATGAAAACAATAATTCATTTTATAATTTATCATCTCTTATTTTTCAGAATAAATTTTAAATCAAAAGCTAAAAAGGAGAAAAGAATAATCTGAGCTTAATGTCAATATTATTCTTATTTATTTGAATGCATTTTTACTTTACTGCTCGCTGAATATTTTGTGATTTAAAAATATTTCTTTAAAATTCAGTGAATCATCAATATTTGATTGTTAATATTATAGTATTAATATTATAAAAATACTTAATTTTGCCTTTATTTAATGGCCTTAATATTAAAGTCCAAAGATTTTGTCAACCAAAACTTAAGTCACATAATTATTATTTCCCGATATATTTCCAAGTAATGAAGTAATTATAGTTGTGACACCAATACTAGTGTGAATTTTACAAGTGAAATCTAGAATTGGTAACTGGTTGGAATGAGGTTAACCTTGCAGGTTTAGGTTTAGGTGTATTTTACAGCATATCAACTTCAATGTGTAATTTAATGCCAACAAGATTTTTTTTAGAATAGGTTTGTATGAATAGAATATGTATTCTTTGTAAGAAATCAGTTTGTAAGATCAGGTTTCATTGACGTGTTTTTGTAAAGAGGGTTTTTCTCAAGAGTCAGATGTATTTCTGGTAATAACTTTTTTTTTTTTTCCCCCCCAAAAAAATGTATTGCTGGCATTTTTTTTCTTTATTCATTGCTGGTAATAACTATTTGCCGATAGCTAGGGCCCTAACAGATGCCACCATCCTGGGTGAGAGTTGACCTGGGAACACCAATTAAGAGGTGGTTCCATGCTCCTTAAAACCTCCTATTCAGAGGCCTTGCTGCCGGATGTAGTTTATTGTCAACCTTGCAGATTTAATGTGAAAAGTCTAGAAAGCTTATCTCGGTAATTTCGATTTTACAAGCAGACCAGAAATATCTTATAGTTATCTGGTTTATACAAATTAAATCTTCTTTTTAAATAAGGTTTGAAAAAGGAGAAAAGTTACATTTTGGGTAAAGAAGCCCAGCTAGTGGTAGTCAGAAGAAAATACTTGATGGATTTGTTTGCCCTGCTCATTTGAGACATTAATGGTGTTTACTGTACTTCATGCCCAGAAGAAAAAATGTGTTGAGTGTGAAGAGTATATTTGGACTTAAGAGGAAAACTGATAAGGACCTAGACCAATGAAATGCAACAGTAACAAAACTGAACAGGGAACTGATCAAGCTAAATTTGGGAAGAGTGTTAGAAGTGATTGATTGGGATTTACAGGTCATTAATCATTTATTCTAACCTCCAATCAAACAGACATTTTCAATATAAGTCATTTGATTTTGGTGCTTTTTGTTAGATGATGCAGTTAAGAGCCCTGACCAACAGATGAACCAGCAACCCTTTTCCTCATCTACTCTTGCAAGAAAAACTTATCAAAAGAGCCTGAAAAAGAAAAGATTATTTCAACTGAAGAATTTCTGCTCACTAAAGAGTCAAGTTGAGAAAGACTGAATATCAAGTTTAGTTGCAGGCCTAACACCATAGTTCCCTGTCTGCTACTGATCCAACAAACCAGTGAAGGTTGACCATCTGAGAACTGACCTGATAGCCATAGTTAGGAAAACTACAGTGCCACCAAATAGGAAGGGGTTAATATTGAAACTTATAACACTAACTGAATAAATGCACTGTTTTTGTTTTTCTGTCTAAATCTTTGGGGAGAGTAGATATCATTATTTACATGTGGGCTATTGTCCTCATCTTTGTTATCATTATCACATTGTTTCAGCCATTGTGCCTACCCATTGTGACCTTTTGAAATTCTTGATTGTACAACTTATCCAGATCTTGTTGGATTCTGTATTTTTCTGATTCAAGGATTATTTTGCTAAGTAATGTCCTGGCCTGTTCGGAGAGTTCATGTTCCTCTGATGTTACCTCCAGCTGTTGTGGAGAATCCTTTCCCTTACAAGGACGTGTACTACTTTTTCCACTATTCTTGGTGCTCTCCTGGAGCTGACAGAGGTTTTGATTAATAAGCCTGATAGAACTAGTGTTAGCTCTCTACATCTGTATAAGAATGTCAGGTCCCAATTTTTGATGGAGTTTTCTGAACTGTCTGTATCACATCAGGTCTGTACCGATTTGATAATTTCTCTCTGAATTTGTAGGATGAGGAATTATTATTTACATGTGGACTATTGTCCACATCGTTATTGTTACTGCAACATTTCAGCCAAAACATTGTGGTAACAACAAAGAGGACAATAGTCTGCATATAAATGTAAATATTGTTTTTGTTATAAAAAGGCATTTTATTTTATCAATTCTTCGAATCACTTTCTTTTTATTGTGACTGTATTCATTTAGCTTGACAGATGTTTCAACTTTGCTGAAAAACCTATTCAGATCTAAAAATCAACACAATGTGAATAGAAAGGCCAATTGGTAGAGAAGTTGCAGAGCAGAGGCTATACATAATAACATTTTACAAATTGAGCTAGTTTGTTTTTTTTCAAAAAGAATTTTCCAAAAGCAATGCTCTCAAGGAGTTAGAAAAAATTATATATATATATATATATATATATATATATATATATATATATATAAAAAAAACAATTATGTTGTCATTAGAGTCAAATTATGGCGATAACAATGAATAAAAGAGTTTGATGTCCTGCTGTATTTCAGAATCCTCTAGGCCACATATGACGGCATCTCTGACCATCTGTTCTGTGAAATTTATGGTGTGACCACAAGGACAGGTGCTGGTGAACTTACATGTGTCTGATTGGTCATGTAATCTGGAGTGAAGTTCATGAACCCCTCATCTCTGTCCTGGTACATATTCTGCAGGATGGCCCTGGATACCACAGTACTCTCCTTCTGAACTGTAAGGTTCTATATTGATGCTAAGATGACCACTTCCGTTTCTATGCCAATCTCACCATTACAATGATGGAGGTCTCTTTAGAAGGATTCCTCACAATATTCCATTAATTGGATGCTGGTGTCCCTGTCTTTGATCTTTGCCACCTGCCTGTAGTTGTTCCATCTTCTTAGGAAGTACTGCCGATCTTTGCTTGAAATACCACATGAGATGGCGGGGTGTGAGACCTTTTTGGGTTGGGTGCTAGTCACCCAGGTTGTGCTGTGTGGATATTAAGAAGGGCTATTCTTTCGAAGATATCCATCATGTCTGGTATGATGTAGTTGCAGTCAGTGATCAGGCATGCAGTTAGTGGCATGGCTGGATGTTATAGGTCTCAGATGGGCCACTTACCTTTTATTCCTAAGCAATTATGTTGTCATTAGGGGCAAATTAATGATGAATAAAAGAGTTTGACCCACCATATTGTTTTGAGGGATGTATTCCAATAGTCACTTCCTCTTAGGGAGTGACTATTGTCTATAGGGACTTCCAGTGAGTGAGTCCTGATGGTCTAATATATTATTCATTTTTAATGAAAAAAAATGTAGGTATTGAAAGATATATTCAAACAGTTGGAACTCACGATGGGTTGGAATGTGATGCATCTTGAAATTTGGAACTGTCTACATGGTGAGTTTTCCATTCTTTCACTGAAAGATTAGAAATCATTATTAAAATTGAAGAAGTAATTAATTAAATGTTAAACTGATAGTATTTGATTAGATGAACATAAGGAATTGGTGTAAACATTTAAATGGAGAAATAAAAGAAGTTAAGCAGCAAAATGATATTTTTGTTTGTGATTTTGCAATTGAAATAAAACTATATTACACCTGATGATGTAAAAAAGCTTCATGGCTATCTTTATTGATAGCAAATTATTTCAGTAAAGTTATATTAAGCTAAATATCTTGAAAGTCATGTGTAGTTATTCATTGGAATAAAAAATAATATTTTTCTGTAATTTAAAAATTTTGTTTAGAATTAAATTATTCTAAGAACAATCTAAAACATCAAACTAATCTTTAAGTTTTGAAAACAGAAAATAAAATATTTAAATACTTTAAATACAAATTAATTATCAACTTTAATAGTTTTATAATAATTGTTTTAGTAATGAAATGGAAAAATCTTTATCTAATTTTTAATGGTGATTTTGCCATTTTTCATATGCTAAAATTATCAGGTAGTGAATTATAGAATTTGGAAAAATTTGATTTGCTGAGACAAATGAGATATCCAAGTTCATCTGGAGTTTAAATAAACTAGTCTTGTTTCAATATGATATCTAAAATTTAGTCTGGAAAAATGAACAAAAATGCTTATAATTTCATTAAAAAAGTCCTGTGATAACAGTTATGTCTTATAAGAAACCTAGGATTACAGGACAGACAAGCTTTGTAAAAACCCTACAAAATAAGGTTATATTGAATTATTCAACATATGCAATTATTTTGAAATGTTTGAATAGCAAGTCCAATATTTAAAAAAATAAAATAAAAACAACAAAACAAAGAACATAGTGAATTTAGGGTTTGCAAATGTTAAACTTAAGTGAAAAAAGACTTTGTACTTACAGTATGAATACGTGATTTCTTTTCTTATTTTGCCATTTTCAACAACTTCACTGAACAAACAAAAAATATTTACATTTTTTTCAAACATTATAATAAATAAATTATACAATTGCTAAGTATGATAAAATCATTTTTATATCTTTTTAGTAAGACATCTGGCAAAATATAGAAAGTAAGGGCTTCTTAAGTAAAAGAGAATCAAAAAGTCATTCCAGATTTTTTTTTATAGAAAAAGCTTTAAATATTTGTGTAGTCTTTAAAAATTATGAAAAATGTTTTGATAATTTTTTTTGAAAAAATAATTACCAAAATTGAGAAATTATGTCACAATCCAAAAAAACTTGCAAAATATTAGCCATTTCAATTGTAGGAAACAATTTTTAACATAAATATATTATATTGTAACAGGATACGTAGATGCCACCCCGACACTGAAATCTCCATGAGAACTTACAGCAATATTTGTTATAATTAACTAGAAATTGTAACAATGCTTCAATTTCATGATAGAAAGCTAGAAAAAAAATTTAAATTAGTAACAAAACAATAAATATAAAACAAACGACAATGCATGCATTAGCAAAAGTAATTACATGTGTAAACAAATGAAAATAAACATTAGAACAAGTTATAAGACAAGTGTGTGTGTGTGTGTGTGTGTGTGTATGTGTTTGTAACAAGCATGTGTGATAGACACATGTGTAAGAGAGTTAAAAAGTCAAATGAGGACCAAAGAAGCAAATGTGCCCTGTCAGCAGTGTTCCTATTTATATGTGACAACTTCTGAAAGCCAGAGCTAAAAGAGAGAGATAGAGAATATGATTGCCTGTTTATAGGCTTAAAGAATGCCCTCAAGTGGTGTTTTGGCAAAGCCAAGTGGGATAACCCACAAGATCAAATGGATAGTATTACTGGGATTTGAAACTCTAATTTAACCAGAGTTTAACATAAATAATAAACCATAACTTGTCAATCATTGTCAACCAACCAGGGCTACCGAAATGGAAATCTTAAGGTTTGAGAATTACCAGGTGATTCTAAGATTGTATTCTTGAAATCCTTTAATCCCATTCATACAAGTAGGTTTAAATTATTACCAAATCAATATCTCATAAAAAATAAATTCAGTCAGAAAACTCTGGGTGTGTGATAGAAGCAAGTGAGCCAGAGTGGCTTGTATCTGGTGAAAGTGTCTTACCTCAATGTGCAACATGTGACATTGGCATTTTGTCCCTTGAAAATGGCATTAATCACACACATTATAAATGCCTTAATATTGTGAAGTCAGAAAACAAGGATTTTTTATGGTATGCTGGGACGGTTAACTCATTATGTGAACTTTTCAAAATTGACGAGATTTCGAAAGACTTATTCAAATGTCTAATATTTGTTCAGGGACTAACAGCTCCCAAGGACAAGGATATCAGGTTACAAATTCTTACAATTATTGAAAAAGACGATAAGACTACTTTGCAAAAAGTTACTGAAGAGTGCCAGTGTTTGATTAATGTAAAATGAGACAATACTCGTATAGAGGAAAAGAATGACTTCAAAGTTCAGCAAATGAAAGCAAAAAAGGCCCCAAAGGTGAAGAATAAAAAGAAATGTGAATGTTGCAGAGGATTTAACCACAAAAAATATAATTGCTGGTAAAAAAACAAGGTGTGTCTTGAATGTGATCGTAAGGGACATAAAGGGTCCGAATGCTATAAAAGAAAGAAAAAGACCAGTGAATAAGTGAATGTGATTCTCTCCAGAAAGGAATTTGAGAATGGCAAGAAAAGAAAGTATGTCGATGCATGTATAAATGGACATATGGTAACATTTCTTTTGGATTCAGGTTCTGACATTAATATAATTGATGAACAGACATGGAGAAACATAGGTTGACCAAACTTGACTGACACAAACAAAATTGCCAGAGGTATTTCAAGAAAAACACTTAAATTTAAGAGTGAATTTAAGTGTAATGTTTCATTTTGTGGTAAGACTTTCAGGTCAAAAGTCTACATACATAAAGGGAACAACTCCTGCCTTTTTGGCATAGATTGGATCGTACTATTTAACTTATTGGAATTGCCCATAAACTCTTTTTGTAATCAGGTGAACACCTGGGAAAAGAAAAAATTAAAACAGACAGAAAAATTTGTGCATGATTTGAAGGACAAATTTCCCAGAGTTTTCTCTGAAGGATTGGATATGTGTTTGAAAATGGAGGTAAAATTTGAGATAAAAGAAAATGTTACACCAATTTTCAGACCTAAAAGGAACGTTCCATTTTCTTCATTAGATTCTATTAACAAAGAACTAGAAAGATTGGAAAAATTAAATGTTATTTCGAGAGTGGATCACTCAGATTGGGCATTGCCTACTGTGTATGTTAGAAAAAAAAAATAATAGAATTACAGTATGTGCAGACTTTTTAACAGGCTTGAATGACTGTCTAAAAGACCACAGTTACCTGCTTCCCTCACCCGAGGACATTTTCTCAAAATTAAATGGGGGTAAAATATACACTAAAATTGATTTGTTAGATGCATACTTGCAAGTCAAAGTCAATGAAGAGTGTTCCAAGTATTTGACAATTAACACACATAAAGGACTATTTAAATTAAACCAACTACCATTTGGTTTAAAAGTTGCACTGTCACTTTTTCAACACATCATGGATACAATGCTTGCAGGGTTAGAATTTGCCATTGCTTATCTGGATGACATTTTGGTTAAAAGTAAAAATATGGATGAGCATAAAAGACACATAAGGACTATCTTCAAGAGAATAGAAGAATTTGGATTCAAAGTGAACCTGGAAAAAATTAAGTATCATGGGCAGATTGTCAATAAAGATGGCAGAAAACCAGATCCACAGAGAACTGAAGCCATAAGAAATAGGCCTGCCCCAGATAACGTGGCAAAATTGCAATCATTTTTAGGTTTGGCACAATACTACGCAATATACATTCCAAAGATGTATGAATTAAGAGCACCGTTAAATGAATTGTCGAAAAAGGGGGTGAAATGGTGTCAGTCTAAAGACTGTGAAAAAGCTTTTCAAAAAATTAAAAAATTATCTACTTACTGATTTAGCATTGGCACACTATGATAAAAAAAAAGAAATTGTTGCTTCAGACGCTAGTAAATAAGAAGCCAGAGCTGTGCTGCTTCATAAATATGGAGATGGTTCAACAAAACCAATTGCACACGCTTCAAGGATGCTGTTGCCAGCAAAAAAGAATTAAAGTCAGATCGAAAAGGAAAGTTTAGCAATCATTTTCGCAGTTAAGAAATTCCATCGTTTCCTTCACGGTAGAGTGTTTACACTACAAACTGACCACAAGCCGTAACTGACCATTTTTGGATCAAAAAAGGGCATTCCAACTCATTCTGCAAACTGATTACAATGGTGGGGCATAACATTATTGAATTACCATTTTAAAATGGAGGACATCTCATCAAAAAACTTGGGTCATGTAGATGGACTGTCAACATAATGATACTTTGGATGAAACTGTAATTGCGGCTTTAAAGGACGAACAAGAAATATCACATTTACTGTGTAATACTGTTCGGGAACTACCGGTGACACTGGAAGACATAAGGAAAGCAGCAGAAAATGATGATTTTATTAAAACTATAAAAAAACAAGCCAGGATAAATGAAAAAAATAAAAAGGGAATAAAAATTTCTCAGTATTCGATCTGTGAAAATGCACTAATGTATGCAGACAGGGTTGTGATGTCACAGGCACTACGTAAAAAGATCTTAAAAGAATTTCATACAGGTCACCCCAGCATATCTTGTATGAAATCTCTTATTAGAAGTTATGTTTTCTGGCCACGAATGGATTCAGATGTTGAAAATGTGAAAAACTGCAGAGGGTGTCAGTTAGCTGCAAGAGCACTGCCAGTTAAAACACAATCATAGCCAGAAACAGAAAAAAGAAAATATTAGAAGCTAAATTTTTCTAGAGGAAAATTTCAGCTTGGTGGGAGGTGATGTAATGGAATAACCAATCACCCGCATGAATGATTACACTATAGGTAGTAAGTACCTATAAAGTCAACTGTCTACGAGAGACTCGGGGAAGAGTGAGAGCAAGAAGATTCAAGCATGCCTGACCTTCCAATTAGTGGCACTCACTACTGATTGACTTGTGTGTATAACTGTACTGTATTTCATATTGTACTGGTTTTTGTACAATAAACCTTTCTTCTATTATTCACCTGGTGTTAAGTATTTATTCCCTTAGCATGAAATATAACAGTATAGTAGAAAGAAGTCACCAAAGCATCAAAACCATTGTGGCTAGAAAGCAGTGCTCTATACCAAAGGTGGTCTAGTGGTATAACATCACACCTAAAGGTAATCACTTACCTACTAAGGCACCAGCTGATGCTCTTCATTTGTACCATACCCACATATGGGGCATCTAGGCCATGACCTCGCACCATCCCTCACCCCACCCTGAACCTCAGGATACTTGAGGATCATATGAAGTGGGAGATGTCATTTGGGTGAAAACTCCCCATGGGAGATGCACAACTAAGTTTAGAATAGGTCACGTAACTCAGGTTAATAGACCACAGTCAGTGCATGTCGTTAGAGTTCCGTGTCACGTGAAGGATGTGCGTCCCTTCATGGGATCAGTCCCAACATCTATTCATGACAGCAATTCAGAAGAGAGTGAGTGGCTAGTAAATTTGAGATCAACCCCACTAGGAGAAACTGATCACTCCCCCGATACTGAATCCTTTGAAAACGAAACAACCTTAGAGGATGACTCCCCGACTGTTGGCAGCTAAAATATTAATGTGGTATGTCCTGTCTGGTAACAGTTCATCTGAGGATGAAGCTCGTGTTGCTCCACTTTGGAGAATGACCTGGCAAAAGTAACCTGCTCTTAACTGTATTTTCTGTGATCATGAGATCAGGGGGGAGTGTGGTGAACATTCACATAGAAGTATGCAAGCCAGGGTGGCTTGCATCTGGTGCAAAGGAAAATAAGTGTCTTACCTCAATGTGCAGTACATGGCATTGGCATTGCGTTCCTTGAAAATGGAATTAATCTCCAGTCGGACTGTTTCAGCAGTATGTGCTGTAACGGTGGCTTTTTGTACAGCTTGGCATGGTTCAACCAATAGCAAGTCATATGCTGATTGGTTGAACTGGAGGAGGATTTTTGCCTGGGTAATTAAGAACAAAAGTGAACAATGCTAATTGGTTGGTTGGCCGTGGTGTTGGCCTGATAGAGCTGAAGCAGTAAGAAGGCTGAACGAGTTTACATTGGTGAAGTGTGTGGAACACAAGAACAGCGGATTGAACAAGCAGTATTTTGTATTGTACGAATGATGTCCAAGGAATAGAGACCCATTTAACTACAGGGTGTTTTTACAAATCTGGATCAAGAATTTAATAAACAAAGTTTCAGACCAGATTATTTTTTTTTTATCAGGATGCAATATTACATGGAATGGGTGTATTTAGCTTACAATAAATTTGTCATATCAACGGAATCAAAGCTCAGTAAAAAATAGTGAGAAATTGTGACAATACTACATTCCACTTTGCCATCTTGCTACAAGTAGACTCTGCTATCTTATGAGCCACAAAGAAGAAAAAAGCAAGAAAAAATAAAGAGAGAAAGGGAGAAGAAGGAAAGGCTAAGATGAGACAAGAAAGAGGCTACACTGCAAAAAGAAAGACCAAATACAGGCCATCCATTTCACAAAGAGGAGGAGGAAAAACTAGGGGCTCTTTACTACTAAGTTATGTGATACAAAAGGCTCTGAAGTGGTAGGGAGAGAGAAGGACTGTAGATAGGCAGAAAGTGGGAATTAGAGATCTTTACGATTAATTACTGTAACTAATGATATCCCAATATTGTGAAATGTATGTAGAAGAAATAAACCTATTTCTTTATTTAAAATGAAACAAAATTGTTGTCACTGTTGTGTGTTGACATGTCTCTCCACATAACCAGGATTTTGCAAACAAGTAACCACTGACACAACTGTTACTGATAGCAATCAACTGATTATCAAAATGGCCAATGAGTATGCATGACCTTCAATATTAGTATTATTGGTATAAAATGTAAAAGGTGTTATTTGAAAGAAATACAATGAATTGTGAATTGTTCCATAGGTTAGTGATCATATTTTAAAATAAACTGAGAATTATTAGAAAACATATCATTGATCCATGAATGTAATCTTTAATTGTTAATATTTTTTTATAAGTATCAACATAGCAAAACATTTTTTAAATTCAGAGTTTCTTTTTAATGTCTTTACCAAAATGTGAATGTTTCACTTATAAAAATAACAAGAAAAAAAAGATAAAAAGAATGTAAATATGAAAAAAGAACTTACTGTTTAGAAGTATGTTCTACCCATTGATACATTTCTACAACTCGTTTCAATTTAGCAGCATGAATAGCAACATTAAAGTATGGATCAGTTACAACCTGCAAAAGAGAATTTGAAAAACTTAAAATTTAATCAAAGGATGATTTTCATTGTAATATGTACACACACACAAAGTGATGATGAAAAGTTCTTAGCCCAATTTATTTTCCAAAATATTACCAAATATCATCCAAGATTTTTTTCTAAATATCTATGACCTTATGTCTCCTTTCAGGTAAACTATATATTCTATTATAAAAGAATGCTTCCAGTTTTGATAAATTCTTCAAAGAATTTTTTGATATCCTGAACTTTTTGAAAGTGTTGAGCAGACAAATAATATTGCAAAGAGCAGGACAATTGTTAGTCTAAAGATGCATTGTAATGGTCTAGGTTGCAGAAATTCATAATAAAAAATTCCATTTAATTTTAACCAGAGAAAAAGCTTTTCTTCAATAGATTGCATTTAGTTTAAAATGTTGAAGGCTGTTCTCTGGAAAATCTTCACAAAAAATTGGGCCCTAACTGACCAAAAGAGTAGATTAATTTCAATTGCTGTCATTGCTCTTTTTCAGTGTTTTTTTGAGAAAGATAAAATTCACAGTGAGTAACAATTTAGAAGATGGAATTTCCAGACTGTATTGAATATAAAACAATGTTGTGAGAAAAGCATAAAATGTGAATTCCTTCCTAAAAAGCAAGAAATACATTCAATAACATAATCTCATTGCCAAATACAAATTCTAATGCATGGCTTTTGGTTTAACACCCCCAAAAATCATGGTGTTTGCAGTTATATGAAAATAAGTTTGAAACAATGAAGCATATACTGGTTTATCAAGAAATATATCCTTTTGGGGCCTATTTCTTTGAGGTCACACCATATTAGTAGTCTTTGCTTTTTTTCACTTGGTCTGACAGCTGTAGTGAATCTCTTCTACCAATATATTGTTTCTGTTTTTGTGGTCTCTTTTGTGAATGGAAACCAGCTCATGCTTTGCGAAGATGTCACAACATCAACTACTTCCTTTATGCTAAGGAACAATATTGTATCCATTACAGTGTCTTTGACAATTCATTTTCTTCAAGTTTTTGCAATTTAAAATCATTTTTATGTGGGCCTCTGGAATCATGCTGCAAATAGTAGAGTTCTATCTTATTCAGTTTTGATGTTCAGCTGTAAAAGTCCATTTTTCTTAAGAGATATGTAATCCCAATTAATATTTTCAGATATTTACTGATTAAACATTCCAACTTTTTAGATACTAAACACATGCACAACAACTGTTCTATGGCAATGAGATTATATACATAAATGAATCATAAGGTATTTTTCAATTACTGAATCACATCTTTCTAGGCATGACAATCAGTAACAAGTAGGAAATAACTTCATTTCATAACTCATAACTTTCAGATTATTGGAATTATGTTCACATTAATTGAAACCTTATCTTTAACTGCTCCTTTTATTAAGGAGAAATTTGACATTTTATGGGTTTCATTTCCATCCTCATTCAACTGAAGAGAGAGTTCATGTTTACATATACACAAATCAATATTTCAATGACCAAACATTAGAATTTGTTTTATTTTGCAAAAAGATTAAATAAACTTGAGAAACAATGTGACAAGTGTGTTGAAATGTGAGGTGATGTCTACTCTAGGCCTTTTTCCTTCTTGGTTGGTTGAGGACCTTTTTATTATGTTCTCATATATATGCACATTTATGTACTTCTTAAAGCACAAAAGCCAACTTAGATAATAAAGTGACCTTTACAGCAACAAATGAAAAACTGTTAAAATAAGAGACTTACTTTATCTGTACTGATGGGCCCACTGGCATACACAAGCTTGCCATTATTTTCCTCAAAAGCAACTTCAGTTGTATCAAGTAGAATCACTTTTGATAAACCTTCATCTAAAGACTTTGCCCTCATCACTGACTGGCCCTAAAAATAAATCAAAAGCCATTAATAGAAATAACTGTAAAGAGAATAGATTAATCAATAAATTATTTCCAAAGAGTAGTAATTGGGTGATTCAATGATTAGAAAGACTATTTTATTTTGTTGCCTAGCAACAGAGTAATGGTCTTTCAGCTCACTATCCCTACAGCTCTTCCATTTTCAATAAATTTGGTGATTGCTCTAAAACTGAATAAGTCCAATTACAAGCTTGAACACACAACTAAGCATGCATCAGGGCATACTTTAGCATTTTTTTTTTGCAAATGAAAGCAACAGTGAATTTCAACCATAAAGAACTAAAGGTACCACCACAATGGAAAGCAAAAAACACTACCCCATTTTTTGAAAATTAATAAAAAATCAGGGAATTATCCAATTTAAATGTAATTTTCAGAACTTTTTCCTTAATGAATGAATTGTTTACTGATTAGGTTATTTTATTAGAAAACATTGTAAAAATACTGAGGGATCAGTTACTACACCATTTCGATATATGTTTAAAATTGGGGTTAATGATAAATATTTTTTATAGTTGTATAAAAGAAAAATCCCTAACAATATTATTGCAGTAAAAATCTTTTGCAACATCGAATCATAAAATCTTAAAAATTTGTCCTGAAACATTACAAAAATAATTCAATAAAATTCAAAAAATAATAAGAGTTGGTGCTTGCATAATTTAATAAAACATTATTTGCTTTCAGATTTAACATGGAAAAAAATTACAATGAATGTTTATTTTTAAAAAATTTACTTGTTATTTTTTTATGTGATTTTGAAATTCTTTTAATTGCTGATGACAAAATAAATCTTTTTTTATTAAATAAAGATGTGTTTGAAGAATAAAAAATGTTAAGTTTGATGCCATTTTTGCATCAGTTATATTCTTAAAAAAATTTTATTTTATTTATTATTTTCAAAACAGATTTTGGGGAGTGTGAATGAAAGATCATATAGGGAGTAATTCAACAAATCTGAATTACTCCCTACTTGTTAGACAAGATTAAAAATAATTATATATGATATCTGAATGTTATGACATTGGTAACTGAAAGAAAGCAAATTTTCTTAAAATAATTAAAATGACCTGATTTGGTGCAGAACATCTAGAATGCATTTATTACTATATAATATTTTACATATTTTTATTATTATATAATATTTTACATATTTTTTTTAATATCTTCATATTAATATGAAAATATTTCTACTGAGTTTCATAAAGAAATAATTTTACTGCCTCTTTTTGGCAAAGTACTAGAATCTCTAATCAACTTTGAATTGTTTAAGCAGGGTCTTATTCATACAAGCAATATGGTTTTCACTTCTCTAGGTTAACCAGTGAAGAGAATAAAGAAAACAGCAACCAGCAAGTAAATTCAAGCTCTCCCAACTGGTATTCCAACCTCGAGTCATTCCTTCTTGAGTTCTGTCTCAAAATCGCACTAACAGACTTTTCTAGCCACCAACCGTGAACCTCACTCGAAGAACTCTCCCCACTGGGAAAAAGTAGTTGCTTTTATATTTGTCCATATACCCATAATCCCTTGCGTCTTCATGTGATCCCATAATTCATTGCGTCCCTGTCCCATAATGCATTGCATCTTTATTGCATAAAAATGCAATGCAAGTCCCCCCCTCATTCTTTTACGTTATCTGGCCAAGGACGGATTACGGCAGAGCGGTAAGTGCTTTTTTTCTCCCTCATTTCAACTGCAGTAGCTTTACATGCTAAGCAAATACGGGCTCTTTTTTGGCGGGGACAAGGCAAGTCGCAACCAGTTGTGCTCATCCCATGTTCTGTCTCATGTCTGCCACAACCAGATATATTAACAGTTATTGCTGAAAGAGTCTGTGAAGTTTTAGATAAAATAATGAAACTCAGACTGTTGCTTTGGATATCTCAAAGGCTTTTGACAGGGTTTGACATGCTGGTCTCCTTCACAAGTTGAAAGGTTATGGTATTTCTGCACACATTTCTAATCTGATTCAGTCTTTATCAAATTGTGAAATGAAAGTTTTCTTGAATGGCTACTCTTCAAAATATTTTTGCATTAATGGTTCTATTCTTTGACGTATGTTGCTCCTATTTTTTCATTAGCAACCTTCCTGATGTCATTGGTTTTTAACTTGGTATCTTTGCTGATGATACAGCTAATTACTCCTATTTTAATGGTAAGTCTAATCAGTTGGATTAAGGTCAAATTGGCAGCTGTTCTCAATCTGTTATTAACTGAGGCAAAAAAATGACTTGTTAATTTTAACACCTCCAAAATGAAATTGCTCTCTTTTAATTGTCTGAGAGAACTTTTTTGCTTTGAATATTGCTACCACATCTAGTCTGGTGTTCTCACTACATGTTTAGAGAATCTTGATGAAATCCAAAGAATCTGCAATGTTATTGGTTCTGACCTGGCATCTTAGCTTCAGTCACTTTCTCACCACTGTAATGTAGCTTATCTGTGCCTTATCTATAAATACTTTTATGTATTTATAGAAAAGGTGCAGGGAAGCAAATTTATGGTGGTGAGAAAGTGACTGAAGCCAAGACACTAGGTCAGGACCAATAATATTGCTAACTATTAGTAGTTCCTGTGAGCTATAGTGGCAGAGCATACTGCTGTGAACCATGGAAAAAAATTGAGGTTTCACCTAGTAGGGAATGAAAACATCTATGCCAGCTTTGACCCAAGAGTGACACAATTCTCAATATCAGTTTAAGTTCAAGTTAGTTCAAGAGGTGTCTTGAAGATAGTCACAAAGTGAATCTCAATCAGCCTGCTGGTAATGGAAAGAGGTCTTAAAAATAAGGGGTTCCTGTCTAATAGATGACTGGAATGAAATATCAATAGATACTATAGCATGATCCAAGTTGCCAAGAGGACAGTGTTGTGCGGCGTGACAAAAAATAGGAGAGGAGATAAGGAACAAATCAAGTAAAGAATTAAGTTGCTCCAATTTATTAGGGAATCAAGTAGGGAAATTCATGATTTGAGCAATGGAAAAATTGAAAGTCTGAACATCAATAACATTAGATTGTTCAAGCCACCAAAACCAAAAATATTTTGAGATGAATGAATTGAGAGAGCCATTTCAATCCTATCAGATATTTTATCTAATATATTGCAGTCCTGAGAAGATGGCTAGCAATAAAGGAAAAAGAGATAGCTTACAGAGTGTAATAAGGAAAGTTGAAAACACATGAAAGAGTTGTCAGAGGACTTTAGTGACAATTCCCTTACCAATGGAAGATTATTGCAGATATAAACACCAAATTCCTGTTCTCTCTCTTTAATCATGTTTTTCTTTTTTTCTCATATTCTCTCACACTCAGTAACCACTAATGTCTTGGTGACTTTATTGCTTTGCTTAGGATGAAAAGATTAAAAAATAAAAATCATAGAATAAAAAATATATTCCTACCTTATTGGATAGAGAAAAGTAAAAATGATTATTTTTAAACATAAATGAAACCAGTTTCAGGATTTTGATAGTTTTGGGTTTTAATATTTATTTAGGCAGATTTTTTTTTTTTTTTTAAATTATGGGTTGAGAGAGGTAATTTTTGTTTGATCTATGAAGTTGTTGACAATATACTTTGCTGGGTTCAAACGTGCTTTTCATTATATTTTAGGCATATTTTAAGTAATATTTTTTTCAAAATTCTGTTAATTAATCCATAATTTTACTTATTTTATTTTATCTATCTAGGATAGATATTTAATTTTTAATAGATTTTTAAAATGTCTTACATTTTCTGTCATCATTTTTTAAAATGGCAAACTGATGAAAGAGCGTTTTAAAAATGTCTTACACCCTCTTTCAAATGTGTAAAATTATTCATTTTTTTTTTTTTTTATAGATTATCTTTAGGCTATTATCTTTCAATTAAAAATAAAATTTTTAGGTAAATTTGTTTTCAATCCCCAATCTATTAATATTTTTCGAAATCGTCATATTTCCATATAAATGGACATGCTGAACTCGAATTAACAATTACAATAAAAAATAAAACCTACCGTTTTGGAGTTATCGACCAGAAAAAAATTGGATTTAATTGTGGTTATTCCCCTACCATTACTGGTGTCGGAGTTAGCTCCTTAATTCCCTAATTGTTCACTAGGGGTCGCTCTCCCTACACTATAAATACTGGGCGACTTCTTGCCTCTTTCTCTTTTTCACTTTGCATTTCACCAGACACATTTTAAAAATGTAATCTCATAGAAATCCGCGTTTTGCCCACTTATGGGAAAATGCCATGAAACAAACATACACGTACGTACAAACATTCACCAAAATACAAACTCTTTACATTCACACACAAACACAAATGTTAATGTCTTTGTCACTTGTAAATTTGTTGTTTATTTTATATATATATATATATATATATATATATATATATATATCTCGGTCTTGTTTGTTTTCTTTACATCTTTGGTTGGACGCAATTGAGTCCACCATTTTTCTTGTAGTTGGACCTTCTTCTAGCAGGAATAAACAGCACGTGTTCCTAATTTAACAACACTCAAACCCACTTGGTCCTCTACACCAGAATTATATTTACTCCGGATCAGTTTCCTTGTGCAAGCATAAATTTTGGCCTATTTACTTATAATGATTTATAATCATGCTTTTTAGTCTTTACTTTACAAAGTTTGCGCATGCATGAACTTTGTAAAGAGCATGATTATCTATAAAATAAAATTACAAAATAAAAATAATGCTAGGAACGAAATAATTAATGCGCGAACTTTGTAAAGAGCATGATTATTTACAAAATAAGAAAATGCTATATTTTTTATTATTTAATTCGTTTTTTTTTTTTTTAATTAAAAAAAAAAAAAAGCTTTACTATAAAAAGAAAAAAAAAATGACAGTGAACCCCCCCCCACCCCCCCAAAAAAACAAAACTTGTCATTGCTTTACAACACAACTTATAAGTGTGTAGTAATTTACCGCTTGTTACAGCATCACTAAACGCAATAAATAGACCAAAATTTATGCTTGCGCAAGGAAACTGATCCGGAGTGAATCTAATTACACAAAGCCGGTAATGGTGGGCGAATTAAATCCGATTTTTTCTGGGCGATAACTCCAAAACGGTAGGTTTTAATTGTAATTGTTAATTGTTCAGCATGTATATTTATACGAAAATATGAACATTTTGAAAAATATTAGATATTTAGCTTGGGGATTGAAAAGCAAATTTACCAATTTTTAAAAATTTTACTAAACAAGAAACATAAAATTATTTTAAGTGCGATTTTAAGTTATTTTTAACTCAAATCATTTGAGTTGGCGGTATCCCGCTAGACAAAAATGAAATCTTTTTTTTAACCATTAAACCTGAACTGAAACGTAAGCTAAAAAAAAACTAAATCTTTTATTGTGAATTGTTTCTAATTATCCAATATTATTCCCAATTGTTTGATACTTACGTTTTCCATGAGATTACCCATTTCTACTGACAAAGAGGGAACCACAACCTGTCACATACACGATTGATCAGCAAAACATTACAAAATGAGTGTCACTTCAAAACACACTCATTTTGTAATATTTTGCTGATCAATCGTATATGTTACTACTGGTTATTATTCTACGAAAGAGCCCATTACACTTATTTCAATAATGGGATCTTTCGTAGATTAGTAATAAAAAATAAATCTATGTTCTGCTAAAAAAATCGCTTGGAAACAAAGATGCCACATACACAGCAAACAAATCACTAACCTGAGTATATACAACAAAAAACGCATACATATTGGTCGCGAGTATATCCACTCTTCAGACTCTTAAGAAAATGTAAAATTGCACAAAGATGATCACCATCTAAAAAAAATCTGGACATAATTTCGAATGGCGACAATTTGTCTTCTTTCTTTATAGAATTTAATTTTCTCAATTATTCGTAACTGTCATTTTTAATGATTGGTTTGTTTTCTAATCTTAAAACTAAAAGTATTTCGAAAAATAAAAATAACACTTCGTTACTGAATCTTACAAACAAAAAAAATGAAATATTTCTCCATTTTCACGTTAAAAAAAAAATCAAATGAAAACATTCAATTTTTCATAAACTAAGCAATTTATAAAACAAATACAATAATCAAAAACTAAAAAAGAAAAAGAGATAGAGAAAACTTTGCTCCCAAATTGGGAAATGTCTAAGTACAAGATAGTTGTCAGCAGTTGGGCCCCGGAGAAAATTATAATTAAAAAGTAAAAAACGAATACATCCAGTTGAGGCAAACATTAAATGGTAAATTTGCCCCATTTTTATTTTAGCGAGAAACAGTGAAATTGGTCGGGATTTATTTTAATAATACCAGAAAAATCTTCAGTTTCGAGAAAACACGTAAAAAACTAATGCACATTGTTGTAAAAACTTTAAGCAAGAAATTAAAGCGGCGAAAATTATTTGGCTAATCTTCCAAAAATCCTTTTCACTTCACATAAACTAGCAAGGAGTCATGCAATTTCCATTCTAGCACGTTACGGGTATAAATTGTTGTTAGCTCTTTTTACATATATTTTATTAACGAGTTACGATTTTACACCCCCGGCACATTACACCAGACAAATAATTCCTTTTTCAGCTGTGCTGAAGAAGAGGTGATAATCTGTTGTTGCACGATTACATTGCTCACGCATATCTCCACCTGCCGACTGAACTGACTTACCTCGTTGTAATACAAAAGATAACACGACATAGGCAGAAGTAAGAAACCTGCAATAACTGCCATCAGAGAATTGGAAATTCTTTGACATATTCCTGGTTGATCCTTATGGGAGACAACAGTAATGCTATCCTTTCCAGATATCATTATCACTACAGTTGAAAGTATGAAGAAACAAACACTAGGATAAAATAAAAACACTCCTCGTCTCTTTTTTTTTTAATTTCTTTTTCACAACATAACAAAGATTAACTTATTTGACTGTTCACAGATTATCAAAACTAACACAATCAACAACACCGTCGGTGTCAACTCTAAAGTTAACTGACCGAAAAATAAATCCAGTTGTTATATAAATGATGCTGTTAAAAAAAAAGCAACTGACTGTCAGTTAAGAAAACGTCTGAAATAGTTATCAGTAAATTAAGAATAAAATTAATTTTAATAAAAGTTGTTTGATCTGATGAGGAAAATGTTCCTAGTTTTTATTAAAAATATCATGACGTGTATCTGCCATTTCAGACACCCTAAATGCACCGTACTGAATGCGAAATGATAACCCCCTTTTTAGTTTTTTTACACACTCCTTTCAAATTCGAAGGACTAAGAGAAAAGACGGAAAGAAATTCACGAGCGTATGTGAAATTGTTTTTAGACCAATGAAAACCTTGCTCAAAGACAAAGAGTATAGAAAATGTTAAACAATTTCTAAAAAGGGGTTTAGTTTTTTTTTTACATTTAAAGCTTATCAAATATTCATTCTTTAACTGAGTGAAAATTCAGTCTTAAAACTGCAACTAAAATAAATGATGTATTATAAATTTTTATTTTTTAATCAATTTGTAATTTTTATGACCAAGTTTGTCTTTTTGCTTGTGGTTGCTGTTGAGTTGACTAAAAATGTTATGAATGTCTTCGTATAAAGACTAAGAACGTTATAGCGAGAGCTGACTTTTTCAAGAGCTTGTGGAGTATTCACTCACCCTCACACCATAGGGATAGTGGTAGTGTATTTTTAGGTTTGTTTTTATGACGATAAAAACAGGAAAAATAAACGCACACGGTACAAAAAAAGCATGCTAAATCATATGTTAAGTTCATACAATTTTATTTTTGTGTGTGTATTTTTTATGTTACCATTGTGTTTTTAAAAATGTACATAAAAGGGAGCAATATTACAAGTCAATCACAGAAAAAAAATTACATGTCATGTCTTCTTAACCAACGGTTCTTCTTGGGCAAAGAGATTGAATATCACGTCTTTTGGCTGGATGTCTGTATTTCCGGCAGTTTTTGTTGTATGCTGGAGGTAATTTTTATTTTTCATTTCATTTATTTTCAATAAGGTTTAAATATCGTTTTATTTTATTTATAATTTTCATTATTATTATTATTTTGTTTATTTGTAACAATAATAATACTCTTACAAGCTGTTATGGGACTAGTTGATTTATAGGGCGCAGAAAATGATTGATTATTGTGGTTAACTCGTGACAGACAGTAATTACAAATTATTCCAGTTGCTATTCTGGAAAGCAATCTTGCCCCAACGTACAAATAAACAGACATAACAACGCAATGATGAAGCAAGGCATTTTTAATAAGTGGATTTAAAGAAGATAAAAATTTGTTTATCAACAAATAAGAATTTATTTGGATATTTTATTGTGTGGTGAATATAAGACTCTTAAAATTAAAAAGAAGGGTAAGTTCACATGTACACATATTTATGTTTAATAAAGTCCATGAAGATGGAAAGATACAAAGACACACGTTGAGGTGCGTTTAATAAAAGCGCTTGAAAGGAGAGAAGTTCATAGGTAAGACATACAGTAATTAGTAAGCCTAAGATGTGTTTAATAAAAAAACCCTTTGAAAGGGGGAAAGTTCGTACCTTTGTTTCATTGTAGAATCTACATCAGAGAAGCGGGAAATTTTTCAGTGGATTAGTAAATCAGTTGACTTGACAATGAGGACTATTCGCCAACTGCTTCTTGTTTGCTTTTTATCTGTCTTTACTTTTTAAACCTTTACCATACCATTTGCGCATGGATGGTATGCAGTCGTTTTAATTAATATGGTGTATGCCTAGAACTCTTGTGAAGCCCCTGAAACTGAAGACTACGATTTATCGTGATTATGGTTGGCACACCAAATTGTGAAATCCATCAGTCAAGGAATGCGGTAACAAAATTTTCTGTACTACTGGTATCTTCAGATCAGATATGCCGCCGGCCAACGTGTGTAGCGATCGACAGCAGTAGCCTCTTGATTGCGAAAGAGGCCCAACCAAATTCATATGAACGTTGGGGAAGCGTGCGTCCGGTACATTAAATTCATAGAGACAGTGTGTCTACCGATTTTATTACGTTGGCGGGATAAACAACTTTTAGCCCAGTTCCGTATGTTAGTCGTAATACTGGGCCACACAAATCGTTGTGTGGTCAACTTAACTGTTGCTAATATGCTTAGATGTGACATGACATGAAAGTGCTGAAAAATATTTTCTGTAATGTTGGGGGAATATAAGGTTTTGGGTTTTTAAGACAAGTGTCACATAAAATAATTTTGTCACTAAAGGTGATGACAACTTAGTCAACTGGAGTAATGTCCCTTGCATCGCTAAATCTATTGTTTTGCTAATTTTTGTTCCTTGGCAATTGTCTCGAAATCGAAAACTGCTTTGTCTAAATGATGAAGTGATGTTCTAGACAAAGTGTCTGCAACAGTGTTATCCTGTCCTTGAATATGTTCAATTGTCGAGGTGAATTTTGAAATAAAATCAAGTTGATGTAATTCCCTCGGTAAGTAATGCGTAATTAAAGGTGCAGCAGTATTGACGGCGGCCTAAATCAACCCAATTTTTACTTTACAAACGTGTAAGCAAACGAAAAGCAAACAAGAAAAACAACACGAGAAACTGTTTTTATAACAAGAACAATATTTATGTGTGTCAACAAGCATAGATAGGTGTCACTTCACTTTACTAAGGGTCATTCCATGTCAAAACACCAGCAGAAAGTGGAAATCTGCACCCACCGACACCGAATTCCTTGAAATTATTTTGTGCTAGACTTTACCGTTCCAATTTTAAGGGGGAGTGTATAATTTTCCTCTTTTGCCTCTAAAATAAATTAAGGCCGCGCAACGTCTCCGAATCACAGTGTTTTTTTTAAATTAAAGAAAAATACTTCCATACCCTCAATATTTCTGAAATTTGGTATATACGGCAAATAAAAAATGTAGAATCCAAATATCTATTTCAAGCCTGCACTTGATAGAAAATTTTATTTTACTCACCCAAATACATGACCCCAAAAATAAAATCAACAACTTTTCACCTATGTAGCTTACGGTCAGTCTATCGAAAATACGCCCTCTTCAATTTTCATAATATTTTTTGCCTAACATCTACAATGCCTGCTCAAGTTCAAAAAATTTTGTGAGGGTTTTAAATCTACTTTCGAAGATATGAGCCTGCCAAGTTTAGAGTTTTTTTCTTACGTATGTGCAGGATTTCCGAGAAAGATTAGACAATCATCCTAATGCTCCATGACATCTAAAATGTTGATAAGTAACTTCTTAAAAAAAAAAAACTATTCAATAAGATTGTTTTTATTAATTTAAAAAAAACTTATTTAAATATATTTTGCAGATATTACTTTTTGTACAGATGTCTTTAAAAAGCGGTAAACATTGCTCATGTATGATAATCAATAGTGCATAGAAAATTTGTAAATGGCACTTATCAAATGAAGTTAAAAGAAATTCTTTCTGTTTATATTTTTAATTTTGGTAAATTATTTTCATGAAACAAAAAAACATTTGATTTTTTTCATTCTCAAAAAAGTCATAAGATAAATGTGAATCTTTAAAACAATATTTGTAGCTGGCACTAACATATTTATATAGTTGAAGGAAATACTTTCATTAGTTTTTTCAATTTTCATTTTTATTTTTTAAATAATTTTTCAAAATTATTTTCATGAAACATAAATATTTGAATTTTGTTTTATTCAGGAGAAAATCATAATAAAAATGAATAATTAAAATGTCTTTAAAAGATTATATTTTAAACTACACTATGCACTAAATTTTGTTGTGCATATAGACTAAATTGTTTTGGATATAATTTTTTGCAAAGATAATTTATCCATCTTGGACAAATGATAAACTCTACCATTTGCTGTTGTAGGAACATGCACAAAATATTCATTAATAGTACAAAACATATATCCTTAAAATCTTCTTTCCAGTAAAATGAATGTGATGGAAGAGCCGGGTGCATGAACTTAATCAGCATGTCCTTATTCTCCATATCAAATTCTAGGACCATGCCAATCCAAATTTTATTGTTGCACTTGCAACAAACATATCCTGAAACAAAAGAATTTACTGGTTTTTCTTCAGCCCCAATAGAAAAGTCATATATTAGGTCATAGTTTTCATCTTTGCTACATTGTTTCATAGCTATTTTATCTCAGGTGAGTGGAATAAATTGATGAAAACTTCTTGTTCCTGGGACTGTGGATGCATTTTCAAATCTCATGGTGAGACTCCTCCTAACTTCCTCAACTTCTTCCTTTTCAACCAGAATGAATTTGGTACCTTCAATATTCAAAACATAGATTCTGTGGAAAGGATTTGTTTGGTAGTTGGTCTTCAGAGACTTTCTTTTGACACTATCCTTTTCACTGTCCCACCTATGCTATCACATGGTTGTTTACCATGACTTGTTGCAAAGAAATTCCATTTTGCATTAAGCCCAAAATCTTTCTGATGGTTGCACAAATTGGCAAAGTTCTTATAATTCTTGTATTGTGCTGCACAACCATCAGTAAAATACTCAATATTTTTTATGTTTGGCAAAGTAGCTTTGATTACCTCAATAATTTTTTTCTGTACCATATAAACAAATGCTACATCATATGAGTTGTCACTTGACATAATGCAGAAACATTCACTTTGCATTGCATTTTCAAGCTTAAAGTAGAGTACCACTGGATGTAAAGTACATTGTGAAGTATTCCAATGATAACTCTGGATCGGCAAAATCTCCCAGGAACAAAATTTCACTATCATTAATCTCCTCTTTTCTTTGCTTTAAGTACCTTGATTGTGATTTAGCCAAGTAAGAATGAGGTGCT